GGTGGGCAGATGTAGGAGATTTTGCCTGGAAATCAGAGATGGGGTAGCGCTGTGGAGCAAGAACGTGGGACTGCGCGGCTTGGGGCCAGAGGCACCCACCGTTCGTTGTCAGGTCCGCTGAGCGCGCCCTGCAGGCCCTTGGGCTTCCAGCTCTGCGGGTGAGCCCGGGAGCGACTCGGGGCCGGGAGCCCGGCGCAGGCGGCCCTCTGCTCTGCCCTGTCCGGCCTGGGGCGGCACACACGGCGCTCCGCCCCGGGGCGCACTTTGGCTCCTCCTCCTTCGAGCTGTGCGGGGCCTGGCGAGGGGGACTCCCGGCTCGCGTCCGGCCAGCAGGGGGACCCCGAGCCCCAGCCGACGGCCCCGAGATCGCGGGGCCCTTCTGGCTCTGGAGCTTGCTGCGAGATCCGCGCGTGCCGGCCTCCCTGGGCTTCAGCGTCCCCCCCTGTGGCATGGGAAGAAGCTGCCCTCACTTCACCGGCACAACACAGGGGCTGGTTTTTTAATTTTCAAAATGGTTTTTGTTTAAATAAAAACAAAATTGGGGCCGGAGATTTAGCTCAGTGGTTCCAGTGCCTGCCTTGCAAGCACAAGGACGTGAGTTCAATCCCCGGTACTCCCCCCCCCCCATTATTACAGTAAAAGACACATGGTCGTTAATTTCCCTCAGAATACTCCCTCACTCTTCGAAACGGTTCTGGAAGTCCTCTTTCGTGAGTGTCTTTAGGAGATGTGATCAAAACTACCGCGAATGCTGCTGCTCAGAGCCGCCCAATGCAAAGGCAGGCTCTAAAAAACAAAAGGTCCTCACCCACCGTACTCACCAGATGTGGCGCGCGTGACTCTGGCTCTTCCCCAGAGTCAGAACGGCCATGAAAGCGAAACATTTTGGATTTAGGAAACCGAGGCAGCCCCAACAGAGCAATTAAAGGCGCACGCACACACACACACACACACACACACACACACACACACACACACGCTTCCAGAGCTGCTTCAGAAAGTGGCCAGAATGTGTGCTCAAAGTGAGAGGGAGTATGTGGGCGGGATTAATGTCTATGTGCCTTTTAAAAATGCTCGCTTGGTACAGTGCTGTTGGACTGCCTTCTTGACTTCCCGTAGTACATCATCCTGGACATGCAATACTCAGTATGCATTTGTGGAGCTCTACTCTACCCAGTCACTGAAGAGTCCTCTGTGTCCTGGTCACCAGCCAGATGGGTGAGTGGCTTTCTGCTGCTATTTGTTCTTCTGGCCTGCATTTTAGGACTCACTGAGGGTGCAGAGCATGCAGCCGTGGGTCACAGGAAAATGCACTTGGTGTAAATGCCTTTCTTGGCTCAGCGAGAAAGGAATGGTGACGGCCCTGGATTCAGGATACAGGGGAGGTCTGAAGGGACTTGTTTAAGATCCAGGAATGAAGGCTGGAAGAGGCGAGCCGAGGAAACACACTGCAGCCAGCTGTGTGACCAGTAGGACTCCTCTGTGTGAGGGGTGACAGCCTAGTGTTCCACGCTGGCTTTCGTCCCTGCCGGGTGACCTCCACTAGGAGGAATCACTATGAAAATTGTGCTGTACGCTCTGTAGCAGGCTCACAGGGCCCAGGGTGCTGGCTGAGGAGAGGGCTTGCTCTGCTCCAGGTAGCTTTCTACCCAGCCAGGTGAAAACTCATTTCTTCCAAGAAGCCCCTGGCTTTGGTCTCAGCCATCACACCTGGGACGTGGTCCACAAAGCACCTAATCGGGGCTGCAGAGGATCCAGGTGGTGGTTCACACTGATGCTACTGCATCTCAGTCCCTTTTGTTTCAGTGCCGTGGGAGGGCTGCAACCCCCCAAGATGGGCTTGTGATGCAATGGAAGAACCCTGGACCAGGAATCCGGAGACATCCTTCTAGCACTTAATGATCCCAGCCTCTTTCTGAGCCTCTGTGTTTTAATCTGCAGAAGGGGACATACTAGCTTCCATCTAGGCCACATGATGGTGTGGGAGATAAATAAGAGAAAGGGCCAGGCCTGTGTTATCCCTTTGGGTCTATCTATATCCAACTCCCCATGAAACATATGTTCACACAGAAACTTCATAGCAATGACTGTTCATAGCAGCGTTATTCATAATAGCCAAAAAGTAGAAATGGCCCAGAAGAATGGATAAACAAAATGTGGTATGTCCATGGGGTGCGATATTATTCAGTCATTAAAAGGAATGAAATACTGGCATGTGCTAAACTCAGATGAAGTTTGAGAAGATTGTACTGGCTGCAGGGAGCCAGCCAGAGAGGACCATAGACTGCAAGACTCCACTTGTTACGAAGTGTCCTGAACAGGGGACCCTGGGAGACAAAGTAGATTGGGGTTGCCTGCACCTGGGTGACTGCTGCTGGGTGCAGCTTGGGAGGGAGGTGATGAAAATGCTTTACAGTGAAATTATGGTGAAGGTTGCACTATTCTTTAAATATAGTACTCAAAGCCATTGAATTATACACTTTAAATGGGTGAACTTTATGATATGTAAATTATATCTCAATAAAGCTGTTAAAATTTTTTTAACTGGGTGTCCTGAATTTAATCTGGTGACAATAATTGGTGAATATTTTGGTCATTTCTACTTTTAGGCTTCTATGAATAATGCTGCTATGAACTTCTGTTCTGTCTTCCTCACTTCTTTCCCCCAGTGTCTCTCTCTCTCTCTCTCTCTCACACACACACAGTACTGGGGACTGAACCCAAGGCCTTCATCTGCAGCCTTTTGAAAAAACAATTTTTTGGGGGGACAGGGTTTTTTAAAGTCACTAACTTGCCTGGGCTGGGCTCAAACTTTCCACTCTCCTGCCTCAGCCTCTCAGAGGGCAGGGATTACAGGTGTGCACAGCTGTGCTTGGTTCTACTCCCAGTCTTGAGGGCCTCACTCCCCCCTGGAAATGTGCAGAAGGTGGTTAAGGGCACCGCTTGAGGGGTGGGAAGGAGTGAAGCAGGAATCAGAGTCTGCATGCTAGGCTGCCTCTGTTCCAGCAGGAGTCACATGATCTCCCCTGCCTCAGTTTCTCCTTCTGCCAAGTGAGGGGAGGGAAAGCACGGGATCACTGGCTGCCCACCCTGGGAGGTGGTGTTGAGGAGTCTGGGAAGGGGTGTGTGTGCTGGCTGGGATGGGTGGGCTGCGTGCACCAGCGGGAGCTCAGATGCGCCATCACCTGGCGGAGCCAGACCAGGACTTCAGGCGGTGGCGGGTGGTAGGTGGATCGCCCAGAGGCACCTCTTTGGCTACAGACAGTGCCAGGGAAGCCAAGAAACCCATGGCTGGCGCCTTGTGGGCTGAGTCAGGGTGGAGGCTGGACAGTGGCTGCCAGATGATGAGGAGCTGGTGCCGGGGGAAGACAGTCTTTAATTGTGTGCAGTGTGGCTGGCAAATGGCTGGCTGTGCTCTGGGCTGAGAGGGAATTCATTCCGGCAGAGCCTCAAGACCCAGTGTTGGGGGTGCAGGGAATGGGGAGAGCCAGAGACATCCAGGTCTGTGAGCAGGCAGAGCCTGTGTCCAGCCAGCTGTCAGGAACTGCTCAGGTACTTGACAAGGGGTGTCTGTTCTCACCCTCTCTTCGCTCTGATTCATCTCCGGTTACTGCTGCTTCCTCCCTGGGGCTGTGAGCATGCTCAGATCTCCCCCATCTAAAGCCAACCTCTTTGTGAACCCCTCTCCTGCAGCTCGCCATCCATCCTTTGTTCTCTTCCCACCAGGCTCCTTCAAAGACTATAGTCAGCACCCACGACTTCCACCTTTACTGCCTGCAGCAGTGCAACCCTCAAGTGGCCCTGGTACACCCAGCCATCCCCCGAACGCTCTTTGAGGTCTCCACTCCCTTCCCTGTCTCCAAATCCAACCAGCCCTGCTGCTTTCCAGCTGCTCTGCTGCACCCCGCTCTATCCCAGAGCCTCCTCCGACCTGGGGCCTCCACTGCTACCTGCACAGAGAGGACCCAGCTCCAGCACCCAGGGACCCTTGGTCATTGCCAGAAGTCTGCTGACCCCGTCCCGTCCAGGAGTGCACAACTCCTGGCCTGCCTCTGCTTTATCGCCATCAGATTTCCGAAGGACTCAGCTTTGCCTTGTCACACTGCACCGGCTGCTGCGTTTGGTGGCCAATGAGCTCTCGCATGCCACATCTCTTGTGTTCGTTCTCTCCTCTCTTCCTCTGCTTCCTCTCTAGTTAGCTTTTCACCACCTCTGACAGGGTGCTGTGGCTGCCGACAGGCTTCCTCTGCCATGGTCACAGGATGATCTTCCTAAATTAGCATCTTGCAGAGCCTCCAGCCTCCTGCTCAACATCCTCACAGGCTTCCAAATACCGTTAGACTGTTCCTCGATGTTTGTCTAGTGACTGAGTCCTCCAAAGTCACTTTCTGGTAAGTAAATAGGCAATTCTCCTTTCCGGGTGGGAGAACTGGGGCTCAGGAGCCGAGGTGAAGGAGGGACTGTGGCTCACCCAGCACGAAGAGGGCGCTGGGACAGGGCCAAGGCTTCTGGCTGTAACTTTTGCGCTCCCCTCTGCTGTCTTTTTCCTCCCCTGGCTTCCCTGGAGCCATGTGCCCCTGAGGGTGCCCAGCCAAGCCCCTGGGCCTGCCCAGAGCCTCCCTTGCTCAGGGTGCCTGTTGCTTCTGTTTGCCCACAAAGTCCCCCGCAGGCCACCTGCCGGTCCCACTCCTTCCCTGGGCCCAGATGAAGCTGTGCTCTCTTCCAGTCCCGGCCAGCCCCACATGCTCTTCAGTCGCTCAGGGCACCTGCAGTGCAGCGCCTTGAGCTCCAGCTGACGCAGAGAGGGCTGGATGCCAACCCTGTGTTCTAGCTCCTGGAGGGCTCTTTGAAAATTGCCATCTTTTTTTTTTGGTACCAGGGATCGAACTCAGGACCTTGAGCTTGAGAGGCAGGCAGTGGCGCCACTGAGCTACGTCCCTGGACCAAAAAGTGCCGTCTTTTAGTGAAAATACAAAAACCAAAATTTTATAATCAAATAGTAAGAGAAAAACAATAGGTATTATACTTTGTATCGCTATCTTCAAAGTAGGTTACTCAGAGTACAAGACATAAAAAAATTCTTACAGAAAGAAACATAACACGAAACTTTCTTTTCACTGAACTGAGACAAGCTAGTAATAAAAATGAAACCAATTAGCACATATATCGAAATGTTTTGGAATTTGGAATTTGGGGAAGTATTTGAACTTCTCCCTACTTCCTATTTCTCTTTTCTACTTTGCCTTATGTATGTATGTATGTATGTGTGTGTGTATATATATATATATATGGTTTCTCATATAAGAGAAACCAGGCAATATTTGAGCTTTGTAAGTCTGACTTAGTTTACTTAACATTATGTTCTCAAGGTACACCCATTTACCTGTGAATGCCTCAAGTTTATATTTTTTATGGCAGTATAGTATTCCATTGTGTATAAATACATTTTCCATCTTCATGGTAAGTCCTCATTCGGTACCAGGTGTAAAGTGACCAAATGGGCTGCCGGAGATCTCTCCTCCACGAAGCCCTTGCAGACCAATTGGCTCAACATTCCCAATGTCACATCTGGGGTAGGCCTCTGGTGACCTGGGTTCCAGTCTCAGCCCTGTCACATGGCTCCCCTTGAATCTCTCCCAGCCTCAGGTTCTTCATCTATGATTAGGGATTAGTAACACAGGCTTTCCATGGAATGCAGTTTGCAGGAGTTTCTTCACAAATGCCAAATGCCAGGCACCTGGGAGGGGCTTTTGTGTGCTTACCCGATCCTGGCGTCCCCACGCCCTGGGATGAGTCTGCTGCCGGCCTCCCTTCCTGTGAAATGGAGAGTACATGAAAGCCAAGCACTGCCACCTAAGCAAGCTCTGAGTGTGAAGGGCTGGCCTGAGGGAGTCCCTGAGACACTGCAGGACAAGGGCCTGAGCCAGCTCACCCTGTCACCTCCCTAGCCCCTCTCTGACCAGGCTCATGGTGGGGAGGTGAGACTGGACCAAGCTTACCTCCCTTTGTGGGTCTCAGTTCTCTTAGCTGGAGGGGTTTGGTTGAAGCTCAAAGTGCCAAGCTTTTGCTAAAGCTCCATAACCAATAAAATCTATGTTCAAATGAAGTCTTAACCAGGAACCCATCTGTGAAAGAAATCAAAGCAGAGCGGCCTCCTGAGCTGTCAGGCCCTGACCCTCCTTCCAGGCCTTGGTGGCCCCAGGCTCCTCTGTGGAGGCCCTCGGTGTCCCGGGATCCTCTGAAACCCAACCCCAGGTGAGAGGGCTGCTGCTGCTCACCCCTGAGGGTGGGCTGGAGGAAGTGCATCCCGGTGGAGGAGGAAAGATTAGAAGTCGCTGGCATGTCCTGATCCTCCCTCACAGGACAGGCTGCAGTTTGGGGTCACTTTATGCCCTAGATCCCCAACCTGACAGCCCCTACCTGATGGCAAACTCTTTCTGGAGACTGTGGGGAAGACTAGCTTTCTTAGCTTTAGATTTCTGTGACTGAATGGATGACGGCCATTTTGATAAGGTTAAGGACATGAAAGCAACAACCTTCCTCAGGGTTTGGGTACAGTTTGCGCCATCTGCAGGGACCAGGACTAAAGGGCCCATGTGTCCCGCACCTCCTCTGCCCAGCACAAACACACAACCCACAGGCTCAGTGTCTCTCCTCCCTGGCCTTCAAGGCGGCAGCTGGAGGAGCAGAGAGGAAGTGGGAAGGCTCGAGACCTGGACGGAAAGTCTGAGGGAGGTGGACAGCGGTGGGGAAGGAGAGGGAGGGGTCTCCAGGGTGGTCAGTCACTGGGCATCGGGGCAGGTGGGACACAAGGCTGCCCAGACATCCAGAAATCTGTGTGTCCCAACTGCCCCACCTGACCCTACAGTTCTTTTTGTGAGCATGCACTGCACTAAGCAATGGCAGAATAAAACAGAGATCAAAATCCCCCTGCCTGCTGCACAGGAATGGAGGGAAGGCTGTGGAGTGGGGCTGGTATGAGTCAGGGCTTCTTGAAGGCTTGGCAAGCCTTTCTACTCAGTGGGGTCCCCAGTCCTCAGAAGAATTTTGTTTTGTTTTAGTGCTGAGGATTGAAGCAGACCCTACATGCTAAGTTACATCCTTGGCTCTTCTCCTTTTTAAAATTTTGAGACAAGGTCTTGTTAAATTGCCGAAACTGGGAGGAACTTGCAGTCCTCCTGCCTCAGGCTCCCATGGTGCTGGGATTACAGGTGTGCCTCACCACTTCCGCCAGAGGAAATGTGAAAATCTTTTTCAATCCCTGACCCCCTCAGGAGCTGACCCCTTCACACCTACTGTGGCGCAGTCTTGCTCCCACAGTCACATGTACAGCGCAAGCTCTTCACTGGGCACCTTTAAGGGGCCCTAAACCTGTGGGGTTTGGTCCCAATTTCCCTGGCTGTACCCAGTGTCGGGCCTGACCTGGTCCTGGCATAGTTAATGAATGTGTTTAATTCCAAGTTAGTTTTAGCGGATACAAAAAACCGCAGCCCTCAGCAAAAACCACGCCGCTCCTTCAGGTGACTAAAGGCCAGATACAGGCTGTGTTGTCTTCGAGCAGACAGAACACAGAATGGGATGTTACAGCAAAGAGATACAACTACAAAGTACAGCGCAACATCTTGGGCACCAAGTTACCTGATAACAGCCTTGACCGCTGCAGGGATGCCCACCACAAACATTTGCTCCAACCCCTGCATGTGCCAGATGTGCCAACCCTTTCCCAAATCCCTGTAAAACTCCCTGCTTTTTCTTTGTTTGCCACTGATGGCTTTGTCCCTCAGTTGACCTGCACCCAGGTGAATAAAGTCTGTGCCTGGTTGCCTTCCACTAGCCTGCTTGGGTGGTCTCATTCCTCCGCTGTTTGTCACACAGCAGGTTTCATAATTTTGAATTTTGTATCCTCTTTCTCTCCCCCCACCCCACTCTCCTGGCTTGGTGCTGCCTGTTTGCTTTGGTGATAAAATTTGTGCCAGACACTCATCATCTGCTCACTAAGCTCTCCTGAGCATCCTGCTAGGCAGTGTTCATACACCCACTGTACAGACCAGGACACCAAGACTCAGCTGCTGGAGCCAGGTGAAGCATGAAGGCCACCTGGCTACAGGGTGCCAGCGGACTCTGGTGTGTGGAAGATCATCCAGTCAGGGTGTCCTGGACATGCTGAGAAAGCCAGTGAGGTTTTGGCTCCACCTGTTTGCCCTCTGCCCTTCTCCATTGCCCTGTCCCATTCCAGTGGTAGACTCTGATCTCTTCCTCCTCCTTCGCTCCTTCCCCTGAAGCCAAGGTGCCTACTCCATGGGGGAGTCAGGTCTTGGAGGGTTTGGGGAGAGAAAAGACTCAGCTCCTTTGTTTCTATCTCAGCCGACTTTCCCACCTTGGAATGGATTTAGGGCAGACATCACTTGACTGATGGGTAAACTGAGGGTGGGAGAGAAAAAGTGACTGGCCCGAGGCCACACAGCTAGTGAATGGCCCAGCAGGGTTTAGAAACCAACTTCCAGCCCTTCTGACTCACGGTGGCTCTTTCCGCTACACTGAATGGCCCTGCTGCCCAGTTCTGTTCAGCCCTGACACTGCCCTCCCCCGACCCTGGCCAGTCCTCCTGGGAGACACTGTGCTCCCCAGAGCTGCCCTCCGTGAGGGACCCTGCCATGGCAGCTCTGTTCTCCAACAGGCTGGTCTAATCCCCCAGAAGACCTGGCCTGCAAACAGTAGGATCAGGGAGGGAGGAGAGTTTTGGCTTATTTTGCCCAGAATGGAGGAACAAACAAATTACCTACAGGCATTATGCAAATGCACCTACTATTCATCAACAACCAGTGGTAAGAATTGGGAGTGGGGGGCAGGCAGGTGTAGGGGCTCAGGTACCCTCCACAGCTGAAGATGTTGCTGAGGGTTAGAAAGGGTGACCCTAATTGCCCACCCCTGTCCCAAGGTGGGCCTGCCAGGGACCTTTGGGGATGTTTCTGAAAACTAGGTGAATGACAGGAAGCTGAAGACTAAGAGAGAAAGGCTTGGGCCACAGAGGACTCACGCTCAGGACAGGATGGGAGGCAGTGGACTGGACAATGCAAAGGCCTGCGTTTGCATGGTGTGGGGAGCACAGAGGGAGTCAGCCAGGGAAGTGGAGGGGAATGGAGGGGAAGACAGAGGAGGCGGTTACCTTCACCAGTCTCTTCAGCCAGCCTCTGGGGAAGGACTACAGGTTTGTCTGAGGCACAGATTCCTTGCTCCCCAGGAAGGCAGAAGTGCAAGCTGTCTTTCTCAGCCCTGGGCTTCCTCCTCTTCCTCCCTGGAAGACTCCGTAGCCTTGACCCCCTCCTCCCAGCAGCTCTGGTTCCAGCCATCCTTTGCCTCCGTGATTCTGCTCAATCTCCCAACAGGAGCAGCTTGGCATCCTGAGATCCAACAGGGGGGCAGTGGGGTCCTGGGGTCTCCAGGTGACTCACAGGGTCCTCCCCTAATACCCACACTTGAGGATTTCTCAGGTTGGGATCTCTGCACGGTATCCTTCTGAGCAAGGGTCTGGCCTGGGAGGGCATTGTCAGTGCCATGGACTGGCACCCAGGGACTGCACGAAGTGGTCAGGGGAGGCCTGGGGCAGTGTGGGGCCAGCACTGCGCCAGCAGTCAGCAGCCTGACTTTCTTGCCCTGGTCCTTAGACTTCTCTTGCGCCCTTTGGAAGTCTCTGCTTCTTGGTCTTCTTTGTCAGAGGGGACCAGACACCTTGTGGCTTAGCTGCTGCGCTGTAAGGAGGGAGGAGGAGAGCAAAGGACCCCAGAAGGGGTGACACCGAGGCCAGGTCACTTCCATGAGCCTCAGAGTCCTCATCTGCAGAATGGAAATTGCTTCTGGCCCCAAAGGCAATTGTAAAAGATGGATGAGGAAGAAACGCAATGACTCAGGACAGAGCCTGCAAAGTAACAGTGTTGGAAGGGTTTGAGCTCCAGAGAACGCCAGGGACTAGTTTCACGGGGAGAGCTAGTTTTAGGGTTAGGGCAGGCTGTGGGAGGTCGGGCGCAGTGGGTGTGGGGTGGGCAACCTGGAGCCCCGCCGGGCAGGTGAGACGCTGTGATGTTAGGCCCCGCAGGGTCGGTCTCTGGGGACCACACACCAGGGCTCCGGCTGCCGCACCGAGCGGGGAGGGAGCGGGTACCCGCAGGCTGCACCTCGTCCAGTCTCGAGCCTGGATTCACACACCGGAACCTTCAAAAGCTCACGTTTTCCCAGGCCTTTTCACACGGAATCGCTTCCTTTGTCTGGAGGAGGGGCGGGGGCGGGGGAGGAGACGGAGGGCGAGGAGGGAGGGGCCCCGCGGTGCCCCCCCCCCCCCGCCGGGTGTGCGGAGCCCGACTGTCACTGCGCCCCCGCGCCTGGGGCGACAAGCCCCGGACCTGTCGGCCAGCCCCGGATCCTCCAGGCTTCTCGGGGCGGGGGGCAGCGGCTGGCGAGGGCGTCGAGGTGTGGGGGCTCGGGTGGCCAGGAGCGGTGCCAGCTCTGGTGTGACCTTGGGTAAGTCTGCGCCGCGGGGCTCCCCGGGGAGGACGCCGGAGAGGGTTGAGGGAAGCGAGCGGAACGGCCCCTTCCTGCAGAGCTGGAGCGGGACCTGGGGTGGGTGGGCGCGGGCGGGCGGGCGCACGCTGGGGAGCGCGAGCCGCCCGCGGCCCGGGCCTGCGCTCAGTCCCGACGCCCACGCCTGCCACCCCAGTCCCAGGTGCACAACTGGGGCGCTACCTCTTTAAAAGCGTCCGGGGCTGAGCCTCTGCCGCACCATGTGATTGCTTGAAAGGCCGGGCTGGGAGCGCTGCGGCGGGAGCCCGAGGACGATGAGCTGCCCGGCGGTTCCCGGAGCCCAGCTCTGCCCGGCGCGGCCCCGGAACTCTGGGCGGCACCGCGTTCCGGGAACTTTGGGCACCGCCTCCGGGACCCCCCGCCGGCCAGCAGGCGGGATGGTGAGCTCCCAGCATCCTGTTCTGTGGACGCGGGGTGGGCAGAGCCGGGCGCGCGGGACCCCCGTGGGGCGTGCTGTGCTGGGAGCCGCCTCACACCTGATCCGGAGCCACGGTGGAGCGAGCGCTGCTATTTTAAGTTGCTGAACGGAACGTCCGGGGCTGCTAAGGGGAGGGGTCGGAGCTTAGACAAGACAAGGGCCCAGGTACCCCGGCCGGTCTGGCAGGCGCTGCATGTGCCAAGTGGGGCTCGTCTCCGCAGGCCTGCCTGGGCTCCCCTCCTGCTCCAGGCAGGCCTCCCCACCCCAGGCTTCCTGACCACAGGTGCCTGCCTCGTGCCCCGTGGTGCCTGTCTGCTGATGTGCTCGGCCCGTGCCCGCCATGTCGCACTCCATCTCGGCCTTCCAGGCCGCCTACATTGGCATCGAGGTGCTCATCGCCCTGGTCTCGGTGCCTGGGAACGTGCTCGTGATCTGGGCTGTGAAGATGAACCAGGCGCTGCGGGACGCCACCTTCTGCTTCATCGCGTCGCTGGCGGTGGCTGATGTGGCGGTGGGCGCCCTGGTCATCCCGCTGGCCATCCTCATCAACGTCGGGCCGCAGACCTACTTCCACACTTGCCTCATGGTGGCCTGCCCCGTCCTGATCCTCACGCAGAGCTCCATCCTGGCCCTACTGGCCATCGCCGTGGACCGCTATCTCCGCGTCAAGATCCCTCTGCGGTGAGTTCGCCCAGCGGGCGGCTGGAGGGCCGTCCAGGGAGCGTGAAAGACAGCGCAAGGGGATTTAGCTCAGTGGTTTCGACGCCTGCTGCGCAAGCGCAAGGACCCAAGTTCGATCCCTGGTAAAAAAAAAAAAGCGCAAGACCTCAAGCGAGCCAGGCATTCTCGGGGCCCCTGTGCCCCGGCCCTCACTCTGCCCTCCTGTGCTCTGTGCTGTGGTACCAGGCTGAGCAGCAGCTCGAGAAGCAGAGGGGCTGGGTGGCAGGAGGGATGCGAACCTGGCAGTGTCTGGACTCTGGCATCAAATGTTCTGCAGCCATGGACTGGCCTGCCTGTGGGGCTGGGGTGGAGAGGGAGGGTTTGGAGCAGCGGGGATAGGGCAGCAGTGACCGCCGGGTGGGAATGAGTTGAGCTCCACCATGCCTTGAGGAAAGGAGAGGAGAGCAGAGAGCTAGGCTGGGCTGAAGAGGTACTGAAGGGGCACCCCAGAGTCAGGGGTGCTGCTTATTCACCCAGTGGAGCCGGCTTCCTGAAGATGGGTTTTAGCCTCTTGGTCTCCAGGTGCCTCTGTCAGCCAGCTCCACCCTCGGGGCTGTCCTGCCGAGCCAGGCAGTCTGATTGCCTCTGCCCAGCTCCCACTTCCGTATCTCTGTTGCAGGCAGGAGGGAGAGCTGGTGCTGGCTCCGTGTCCCCATCCTGTCCCGAAAGCATGTCTCTGCCAGTTATATCGGGGCTCATCTGCTTCCAGGCAGCGCTGGGGTGGGTGGCCTGATAGTGGCAGTCCTCAGTTTGGGTATCTGTCTACACTGGGGCTCCCTGCCAGGCCATAATCTCATCACCAAGCAGTGCCACCAAGTGCCAGCGAGTGCCTGGGCACACTGCCAGGAATTGGCCTTGCTGGGACGCTCCTGTGAGTGTGCTCGCCTCCTCTACATTCTTGTCACCAGTAAATTCCTTTCTGATGGGGAGCCCTGGCCAGTCAGCCCCTGCCAGGCTGGTGTGGCTTCCTAGGTCCTGTATCTGGGCCATGGGACCCTGGTCTGTCTTGGCAGCTTGTCTGCACAGGCCTGGGCACTCACAGTTCTCAGGCGGTCAAATTTGTTTGTGCATGCTGAACTTTTCCAAGGCTCTTTTCATGCTGACTTTCCTGCTGTCCCCAGGATCCCGTAGAGGAGGCGGAGCAGGAGCTGGTAATAGGGAAGCAGCCTCGGAGGTGCTCCAGAAGCCAGTAGGGAAGAGGCTTAACTCAGCCATTCATCCTCCTTCTCCAGCCCTGTGCCCAGCACCTCTGTGCCAGGCTCTCTGCCCTGTCTGTCTCTCTGGCAGCCACGAAGTTTGCCGGGAAATGTGGGGCGTAGACTCCTGCTCAGGGGAGAAGAGAACACAGCCCGGAAGTCCTGTCAGCTCAGTTCCAAGAGACCTTCAGCTGCCATTAGGCCCAGGTTGTTGCTGGGCTGCACGGATAAAGCTGGTCTCAGCCCATTAGATAGATGGGCTAGGGCTTGGAGCCTGACCATTATAGCCACATGTGGCCCCATTAGGAAAGGCAGGTGGGTGTGCAGATGTAAGAAGGCTGCTGGAGAAACTCTGCTGAGCGAGTGCCGAGGCTAGCCAAGGTCCTGTCACGGTGTGACAGAGGTCACAGACTGCAGAATGTGCCCTCCTTGCCCTGTGGGGGTGCGGACGGAGCCAGCTGTGTCTGCAGGACCTGCAGGCAGTGTTGGAGCTGGGGATCTTGGGGAACTGTCTTCTGAGAGCGGAGGCAGGGCTGTAGGTAAAGTGAAGTCAAATGCAGGCCTGGGATCGACTGCTTGCTATGCATTTCTAGCCATGTGACCTTGGCAAGGTCACTTATTTAACCTCTTTAAACTTTAATTTCCTCATCTATAAAAGAGGACATTAATAATAGTGCCTACTCCCTGGAGTTAATGGAAGAATATAGTGAACTCATACATACAAAGCACTTAGTATTGGGCTCGATATATCATATGCAAGCCACAAGTGGTAGGTTTGTTTATGTTAGTTGCTTTATTATCATTATCACTATATGGCTTAAAGTAGGACTGGATATGCAAGCCCTGTCTTCTCCCTCCCCACTCCTGCAAGCAGTCTTTTTTTTTTTGGTACCGGGGATCAAACTTGGGACCTTGCGCTTGTGAGGCAGGCGGTGGCACCACTGAGCTACATCCCCGGCCCTACCCATGCTCTTACACGGCAGCACGCACACACACATATGCAGACACAACACATTTCCAAGGAGTGTTGAAGTACTGTTTTGTTGGAACCTATTTCTTCTTTGCTGGTGAATCGTTGGTGCCTCAAGACCAGTGACCCAGGCAGCAGCCATGTCTTGTCTGCTCCTGTGAGTTGTCCACAGGGTCCTTCAGACACTTGGTAACGCTGGTTGAATTGGCTAAGCTTCCAGGGCATGTACAAGTGCGCCTCAAGTAGCCCTGTCAAGAGTCTAACCTCTAGCCTTCTTGCCGTCCCTCATCCTATCTCAGGGCCCTGACCAATGCTGTTCCACTAGTTCCGTGTGGCTCCTTCAGGATCACTCAGCAGCAGAGCTGGGCAGAGCCCTGCGCGCTGGAGAAGAGCCTTTCTCCTGAGTCAGGAGGGGCCTAGCTCCTCGACCAGGGCTCCTGGAGAGGTTTGGCCCCTCTAGGTCCTTGCCTGTCACTGCCCGTATGCCCTGTAGGAGGAACAGTGTACTCTGTCCCTGTCCTCTGCTCAGCTGGAGTCAGCAGCTGCCAAGTCTGTGAGACCCTTCTCTCCCTGTCCGACGTGCCAGTCACAGATGGACGTGGCCGTGGGCACAGGGGTGACACGGAGTAAGTGTGGGTGAGGCATGTCTGGGCCTCTGGACACACGAGTCAGCCAGGCCTTCACTGAGTGAGCCATAGGTTCCTCAGTCGACCACAGATTTTATTTCATTCTACCTGGCAAAAATCCAAGTGCGAAAAGAAATTCATGTTATGTAGTGTGCTCCAGTTACAATTAAAAAAAAATTCAGGTTGTTCATTCATCAGTAATGTGATCATTTGCATGTTGTTTGCATGCTATTTGCATGGCACCTACCCATGTTTGGTAATTGATACCCTATTCCCCTTACTCCTAGTTCTAGGAAATCTTCACCTTTCATCACCTCACCTCCTCAAGCAGAGCTTTCTTGGTGGCATCCTGTGGCGATTTGGTGGCTCCTCCAGGGGATTCCCTGACCAAAGCCTTTTCTGTGGAAAGGAGACCTTGGCAAGGGCTGCCCATGGATGGGTTGGCATGAAATGAACCGAAGGGGTTGGATTCAAGGTCACTGAGGTTCCTTTTGGCTCTGTCTCCCTGTGATTCTGCCTTATCCTGAATCTTGCCAGTGCCATCTTGGCATCTGGGGAAAGTTTGTGTTGTGCTTTTCGGCTCCTAGCGATCATGTGCGAGGCACAATGCTGTGTTTTACATATTTTATCTCATGTAATATTCACAGCCACTTAGTAGCAGAGGTTATTGGGACCCCCATTCTGTAGATAATTCTTTAGATAAACTGAGGTCTGAGGTCGGAAGGTTCAGTAATTTTCCCAGACAAACAGCATGTCAGGAACAGAGGCAGGTTTGAATCCAGCCCTGTCTACCACATACCTCTCATCTGGAAGCTCAAGCATGAGTCACGGCAGCCCAAGCAGCTGTAAGATTTATGCGGAAGTTTCCCCAAAGCTGTCAGTGGGGTGATTTTTCTCCTCTGACTTTTGCCAATGGCCTCTGTACACTGTTCAGGCACACATGGTGCCTCCTCCATCCCCACTTTGCTCCAGTGGGCAGTTGGTGGCCCTGCTTTTGTTGAAAGGTGGAAGCCTACCCCACTGGACTGCCAACCCAGGGGAGCCCTGCAGGGAGTCGGGAGGCCTGCATGCTGGGCCCAGCTTGGGCAGGGGCAGAAATCTGGTAGATGGGGATGATTTGCCTTTAGGCACCAGGTTAGCCCCCCTGACCCCAGCAGCCTGGGCTTTTCTCAACAAGTAGAGTGTCTCATGCGCTGGCATAACCCAGTAGGAGTCTGCGGTCTCCGGGTCCTAGAACAGCTGCTGTCAGGTGTCTGTTTGCGTCCAGGAGAGGTAGGCAATCTTTCATCCTCTGTCCAAGGATGCATTAGCCATAGGCCTCGGAGCAGCAGGAGGAGGCCTGGAGCCCAGCCCTTCACACTTGTGGGCTGAGGTCCAGAGAGCTGAGAGCTTGCTCAAGGTCACTTGGCTGCAAGCTCTTTCTTCCTCCCCATCCAGTCTCTTGCTACTCTGCCTCTGATGTGAAAGCTTAAGTAGGAACAGTAACCAGAATAGTAGGAAGGAGCAGAAAAGAGAAATGTAGCTTCAACCTGTTAGTCAGCAAATCCCTGGTCAGCACAGGGAGTTGCTTTGTGATGAAAAAGCTGTTTCTTTGCAGCGGGACAGCCTCCAGCTGGGTTATGCCTAGGAGCTTGGGCTTTCACTGCAGAGGCCTTGGTTTGGTTTTAGGGGTGGAAGCTGACCCTCTGGAATAGGGATGGGTACCAGGAAAGCTCTGAGTGCCTGAGGGCAACTTGTCCATGTGTTGCTTGGAAGTGGGAATGGCCAAGATGTCTTCTGGAGGACCTCTTCTGCCCAGGGGCGGGGGGTGGAGCCAGCTGTAGGGGCTGCACCCTGACATTTGAGTTTTGTTTTTGAGTATAAAAGCAGTTCGAGTTGTGAAAAATGCAGGAAAGAGAAAAGGATGGTAAAATCCTCCATACTTGTACCACCTACAGAGAACTACTGTTAACATTTTGGTGTTCCAGAAAAATTTTCTAGACACACACACGCACGCACACACACACACACACACACAGTGATATTATTTTTACATATTGAGAGCATCTATCTATATATGGTTTTATATCCCATTTATTCACTTAGCATTCTATTATAAACATTTCTCATATCAACTAAAATTATTATTATTATTTTTTTGGTACTAGGGATCAAACTCAGGACCTTGCACTTGCGAGGCAGGTGTGATGACACTAAGCTAAATCCCTGGCCCTAACTAAAGTTATTTTTAAGAACTTCTATGATGACTTAATATGGGACTGTATTGGGGGGGGGGTAACGGAAATCGAACTCAGGACCTTGTGCTTGCCAGGAAGGTGTGGAGCCACTGAGCTACACCCTCAGCCCGGACTGTATTATTACTCATCTTGTAGATTTCAGCTACAACACCTATTCCTTAGGGAGTCTTCTCCTCGTCTCCTCCCCCGGCCAGGTTCATTTTCTCTGTTAGGTGCTCAGACTGGGTTTACTCCTCCTGCCACATTACTGTGGAGCAGCGAGTTTTCTGTTTAATGTCTCTCTTTCTGGGCTTGGGAAATCCCAAGAGCCAGGACCAGGTCCCCGTTCATGTCCACCTATCCCCCATGGTTGGCACCCAGAAGGCATGCTGGAGGCATTTTTGGAATAAATGAATATCTGGATATCATATTTTATTTATTCACTCTTAAAATGGTGGTCTTGTAGATTGCTACTGATTTCATATTATTACAGAAACACTTTAACAATTCACACTGTTCCTAGGGTCAGAGCCAAGCGTAGACTCCTGGGCTGGGCCTTCTCTATCTGCATAACAGCTCTAACAGCATAACCTCCATCTGAAAGGCTTTTCTCATGAGGCTAAGTGTTTCCTAACTCCTTTTACTCAATTCTCCCTGACCTCTTGCCCATTTCACCCAAACTGCAAATCCCCAAAAGGGTGATTGGCATTCCTCAGCCCATTTACCCTCCTGGGCTGGGGAGGGCAGGGCTGTAGAGGCTCAGGGTGTGGTCCTG